TACGTCTCTGCCTTCCGACTCGCATAGTAATGAACCATATCGCAGGTACGCTACGACGTCCGCGGTCATGGACGTAGCGGGAAACCTACTACTCCGGAAGCGTACGAGTCCAAGAGGTTCGCAGATGATTTCAAAGCTGTGATGGATGTCTTCAAGGTTCACAGCCCGTTTTCGTGGCATGGTGTGAAGGTTCAACTATAAAGGCTTCATAATCTTTAATCGTCCGTTCCACAGGAGCATGGGCGGTACGTTTGTTTATGACTGAGTTCCGTACAGTCCTCAAAGTTGTTATTCCACGCAGCCGCTGTTGCAACCGACGTTTCGGCTCATCTTCCACCTGCGACGCTCTCCGGGGTACTCTACCTCGCTGGAGTGCCTTGCACAGGCGAACTCCTAGGGGAGCTGGTCGCCCCTGGCCTCGCCGTCGCCCTCCCCGGCCTGTTGGCCAAGGATGATGTTGCTGCATTTCAGACGTCAGCAACCATATTCATGGAAAAGCTCTTCGCCAAGCCGGACACCATCCCCTACCGGGTCAAGTGTTTGTACCTCGGTCACAGCCTGACTCCGGAGATTATGAGTCTGAGTCTCAATCGGCCGATGGATGTAGAGGCCCTGTTTAAGGCAGGAAGGGATGGGTTCCCGCTGTTGATTCTCCACGGAAGCGTCGATGGGCATCGGATGGGCGGTCCGAAAACTGTCGAGGACGTTCTAAAGCCGAACTTCAAGAATTTCGAGTGTGTTTGGTTGGAGCCTTGCACGAGGAATGTCCACAGGATGTCGTGCATTATCTCATTAAATTTATCCAGAAGGTCTCGGGCAAGGCAAGTAAAATCTCTTTGGCTGCTCGCCGCGAAACTGATCGAATTCGGTTAATTACAGGATTACCGTACGGCGTAAATCTTTCTGAATCCAGGATATCAATCCATTTCATGAGGCGAACTTGTTCACGGTTGGAAGGTGTTGACATGTATAATCCAAAAGCGTAAATGGCAACCAGTTGAACATTTTCTTTTGTCCTATGATGGAGGCATCTGTCAAGGTCGACTGTTTAGTCTCCAGTCGAACGGTTCGTACTGCTAATATCGAGAGGCACGTTCGTCCTACAAGTTTCCCGCTTGCCATTGAGTCACGAAGTATTGTGGCGGACGCAAACTACGGCCGAAAATATAAGTTCCGGCACCGAGTTACGGTGAATGAAACCTCGATGCTTACCGCATCCCCGCGTAATCGAACCAATGGGGGTTGTTGTGCAATGTCGTTTGGTAATTGTGTGCGGAAGCCCCATGGATATACGGTTATAAAATTTCCCTTCGCGCCGATTCAGCTGTTAGCGCTCTGTGGAACAATAATGGAAGGATCGACAGGCACTCGCTGTTCAGACATTTGGATCACGCGAGTAATAAATCCCCCCCCCAGGCAGAACGTGTCCGCGATCTTCCTGGAAGGATATGTATTTATTCTATTGTTTGAAAGGTGGCCAGATCTGCAAATATCAGGCCAGGAGACTGAAGCTGGACGTCGCTCGGAATCTCTGCGGGATCGAGATTGACATATAGAAAACGCGAAGCAGGGCTAGAAATATTTTTGCGCGCTTCGGGCTGGCGAAACCTTGATATCTGGCGTATCAAGAGACCACGCGTCACAAACAAAAAAAGTAGGATCCTAGGAGGCAGCACCCGAAAGGATGGCGGTTGCCGATTGATAGTAATGTCGGATCTGTACCGCGGCAAACGCCACGGTTACTTAAACCGATCATCGAGCTCATGAAGGAAGGACAGGAGAAATGATCTTCACCCACATCAGGGGTGCGTCTGGACGACAGTCCGAATTGGCGCGCTGGACACGGCGCTGTGGCGATGAGGACCTGCCAGCAATGGACGCTCGGTAATTCCGATTCAATTTTTGGGGCATGTTTAGGCACATGGGGCTCGAGTGTCGCCATCGAAGGAGGTGACGCCGTACAAGGACTAGAAAATTATGGATGCCTGTGAGCTAAATTCAGTTTTAACCCCGTTTTGAAGTCATGATCAAGACTGTTACCGATGCTCCCCAAGATAATGAGAGATTGAGGATAGCTTTGACCGACCCGAAATTCCACGTGGATGCGTGGCACTACGGTGCGAAACCTGCGTTGGACGGGAAAAATGGCGGGGGCAGGGGTTAGACTGCGCTGGCGAGCGCGAGGAAGGGGCAGGCTAAAAGCCAAGGAAGGGGAGGGAGTGGAGGATGTATACTGCACCCGTCCCCCCATGCACACATTCCCTATCTGCATCCCATCCCACCCTCATCGATACCTCCATCTGTGTGTGGTTCTCCGTCTCCAAGATGCGTGAGATGCGTGAGTGCGAGTGCGAGTCCGTAGGTCCATCGACATCGACATCGATGCGCGTGAGTGCATGTCGAACGCGGTCAGGGGGGACATGACGACGAGGGGAGCGAGATGCATAAGCTCCTCAGTCCGCCAGCTACCCGCATCTATCCACCCCCGCAGTTCTCCATCTTCATCTCCGCCCCATCGACACGCGAGTGAAAGTCATATCACTACTGCGGTGCACATGCAGAGGGCACATGCGGGCTGCCCCTCCGTATCTCCGTAGGAAGAAGATGCCGACGGCGGCGCGGATACGCACGGACACCCCGCCTCGATCGCTCGACGATGAGCTCGAGTACGGAGGCCGCGCACAGATACACGCGCGCGGCGGACATCCCCGCCGCCTCCGGGTCGAACTCTAGCTGCGAGTGCGGGGAGGATTGAAGCCTAAGCCGCAATGAATGCTCGAGGACGGCGAGGGTGTGGCGGGGGAGGAAAACCAGCCGGGGAGGAGATAGGCATGGACGGAGCGAGGACGAGGACGAGGGCAGGATGTACACGCCCGTACCGCACTCCCGCGCTTCTCTATCTCCGTGATACCGCGCCCCTCCTGCTCTTCCATCTCCGGCTCCAGCTCCGTCAGCGTCGACGAGCACACCTTTTCCGTGCCCAACTCGCGCACTACCCCCATCTCCATCTTCGTCGACCTCTCCGCAAACCTCTCCAGCAACGCGCGCCCGAGTGCGCGTCGTCCGTGAGGGAAGTGGCGAGCAGGGAGGGACTGAGTGCAAGGGGGTGGTGGGAGAGAACGCGGCTGCGCCACCTCACGGGTGTACAGTAGACAGTTCTTGCCAGCGGTACAGCCTCCGGTGGTGAAGAATGTAGAGCTGGAGATGGACGGTCTTGTTCCAAAGCATGCGCACTCCAGCGACGGCGAGGAGGGAAGGGAGCGCGTGTCAGCTTGCCCCAAAAACCGGCCTCCGTGGGAGCGCAAAGAACGCGAAGACCCAAAGAAGCACACTCCGACATGCTCCCACCCAGCAACGCAGCTCTCTGGGGTGTGTTTGCATGTTAGAGGGCGCGTAGAGCCGGGACAGTGTTAATAACGAGGAAGTCCGTGCGTGTCGTCCCGCAAATTCCGAGACGAGATAGAGGGCGTAGGACGTGCGGGGCCAAGAAAGGCTGAGCGCGAGATGGCAACACGGCTGGAGCCATTTCCAGCTGAATAAGGCAGCAGAGGAGAGGAAAGGAGGGCGAATTCGTCATAGGCGTAGTGGTAGCGGAAGGCACAGGAAGTGGGGAGGACATCGGATACGGAGAGGGGGCTATTGTTGCGCCAGAGGTAGCTAATGAGGTAGGCGGTCGTGGGGTAGCCCGCGACGTTCTCGAGGTTTTTTCAACATTTATTTGGACGACGAGTTCCTTTACAGAACGGTTAGTACAATTGAATGTGAGGAGGAAGAGGAGTCGCACGGATTTGGTTCGGAGAAATGTGTGCTCCAAACTTCCAATCCCAATCGGTCTCGGCCTTGGAAGCGGATACAGTCGAGCGCGATGCAACTTTGCAGATGATCTCTCATATCCTAGTCCTCATCAGTACGCGATAAGAGAGACAGAAGGAAAAACGGACAGATGACACCACACCGGCGCACATTGTTGACCTTATCCCGCCAGGATGAACTTGAAGCAATGAGACAGGAAAGCACGATATATGTCGTTACACGTCCCTGAGTCTGCGCTCGGAAGGGTGGACGCTGGAGAGACGGGATGAAGAGATGTCGTGTAATTGCGCACAGGGCGAGTTTTCAGAACAAAAAAGCGGCAGGGAGAAGTCATTTGGGAAAGTAGGAGACCATCATGACATCAGCGCATACGCTAAACCTAGGGAGTTCATCGGCGGCGTCGAGCGAGGGTCAAGGTGGAAGATGTTGGGACCAAGGGAAGACGGCAGCGATCGGCGATCAGCGGCTGTACGTGCACCGCCACAGCTATCTCCTTTAAATTCCTCATCAACGGCGACCCCGACTCCGACTCATGGCTAGAAAAGCTTCACTCAAAAAAACCCGACTTGAAATTTGTCTTGGATTCTAGCTCTTGATTTCGCGCCTTGCAAACATCGCTCAACTGAAGTTCTTGAACTAACCCTCAGTTGACCCTCAGGCTAAGTATTAGTCTCCCACAGACTCGGAGCAGGTCAATGCAGGTTGCGGTCCACATTGTTGCTTTAATCCTTTGAAATTGAATGCAGGGCCTCCAAAGTCCGCTTTACATGGTTTCTTCCTCGTCACTTCGCCCACATCACGGTTCTTGTCCTGGATGTCCTTGCACTCGGTGCTGCATTCATTCATCTGTGGTATGGTCCAGGGGTGGGTTAAAATTATGATCCATTCATTGTACACTCCCCTTGGAATCTCTTTCGCACGGTTATTACACCCCACATCTTACCCTGAGTGGCCAGAGAAAAAGAAATCTATGTCCCTCTGGAACGGCTCGGGCCTGAATTGAACAGGCGACTGCTACAATTTATGCGCCTAATACAGATGCGCTGATATGCAGTGATATGCAGATGCGTACCAGCACCACCGCGCCTTCCTGACGACGTTTTTACGTTGCTTATACCCCATATCTTTCTGCCTCTGGGCTTTAAAACTCACGAGCAACGAGACATAAAAACATCCACACCATGTAATGGCTCGGGCCTGAGTCGAACAGGCGAAATCTGCCTCAATTTACCTCATTTGGAAGAGGAGGATGATATGCAGATGCGCGCCACGCGCCACTGAGCCTTCCTCCTTACCTTTGTACATTGATTATACTCCATATTTTCCTGTGCATATGCTGTATGCAATTCACGAGTGCTAGAGAGAGAGAGAAAACACCGGTTGTTGTGTAAGCTAGTCCGAGCCGCGTTCTAGACCGCTACACCAAAGGTAGATAATTGATTAGATAGTACTAATCAATTGCGTGGCTATATAAGGACTTCGGATGTGTCGTAATCAGCATGATTACATGTTGACGAGAATGGCTCGGGCCCGATTCAAACAGGCAAAGTCTGTTGCAGTTTACGCGTAACCGAGTCTTTCCTTCCCCGTATTTCTTTCTTTGCGTCTGCTTTATTAGTCACTACGAGAGGAAAAAGGTTGACAAAGGCAGAACGGCTCGGGCTGAGTCGAATAGGCGAAGTCTGATGTAGAGTCAATGGAATTTGCACCGGTACACAGATGTGCTCCGAGCGCTACCGAGCCTTGCTAGCCCCCTTTGTGCGTGAAATATCATCGCTCCTTTTCGAACAATTCCACTCGTTCCCGAACAATTCCAGTCCCGGATATCTTTCATCCACCAAATTTAAATCTTAAATCTCAGCGAACCAAACAAGGCCTGTGGACAGCTGGCCACCGAAAGAACGAAGCCGAAAAAAGAAATGCAGCAAATACCACGCACGGCCCAGCCCCGAATCGAACGGGGATATCTGCTTAAATTGACACTTTCTTACTCTTATAAATCGCAGACGCGCTCCAGCGCTACCGAGCCCTTCCTCGCCCCCTTTGTATGATTATTATCCCGTCCTTTACATTTGCGGTTTCAAACTCACGAGTGACCAGAGAAAAACAAATTCGTCCACCTACGGCTCAGGCCTAAGTCGAACAAGCGGGTCTGCTTCAATTTATATGAGTTGATCATAAGTGGATGATGATATGCAGATGTGCACTACACGCTACGGGAGAGCCTTCCCCACTCCCAGTGCACGTTGCTTATACTTGATTCCTCCGCACTCTAATCCTGGACTTCATCTGCAATAGCAGATAGATCTCTGCAGATGCAATGCATCCTTGACTCTCGCGTCCAAAAATATCAACTAGAATGCGATCCATCTAGATCTCATCTCGGCCGAAAGTAGAACAGGCTGGCGATCCGCACCGGAACTGGGTCTCAGGATAACGGCAGTAAATTGACGCAAGTCGAAAAGAAGAAAAATATATATTCGACAACGTGTACGGCTCAGCCCCGAATCGAACGGGATAAATCTGCTGAAACAACGCACCCACTATGAATCGCAGATGCGCACCAAGCGCTACTGAGCCTTCCTGCCATCCTTTCTACCTTCATTATGCGCCGTGTTCTTTCTTGGGAGTCCATTGTATTCGGTATTCACGAGTGACCAGAGAAAAAAAGTATTCATCAACAGTGTTGCACGGCTCGTGCCCAAATCGAACAGGCGGGTCTGCTTCAATTTACTCCATTGGAGGTGGACAACAATATGTAGATATGCACCAGCGCTACCAAGCCCTTCCTCTTTTCTTGTGTACATTTATTACCAAGATTCTTTCTTTGCCTCTGCATATTTACCGCCTACGAGTGACCAGAGCTTAAAGGTATGAATTGCAGACGCGCACCACGCACTATCCAGCCTTGCTTACTCCCTTTGTCCATCAATCATACCCCATAATTTTACCCTGTAACTGCTGTCTTTACTATATATTACTGCTATTTGTGGAACATAAGGCGCGCATCAAAATTTCATCAAAAACAGCTGTTTTCACTGTTGCCCCTCCAGCACGCTCAAATCTGCTTGGAATTTCTCGAGACCTTTACCAATCAATTTGGACAGAGGTTTTACAGTGCTTAGACTGTTCATAATATTTATTTTCTTCTCTGATTGCTGAGTGAGCAGAATCATGTGATTTTACGCTAATGTCCCTGCTTCAAAGGGAGGATAGGTTGAAAATGGCCAACTTGCGGGCTCTGGTGTGAGCCCAAATCTCCATCAATTGACATGAACTAAAATACCAATATGCTTGCCTCTACAAGTACTTTCATGCTGTATACACCTTTTCTGCATACATGATGATTCTGCAAAGTCGATTTTTCAGAAAGCCCTTATTTATTTTATTCAGGGTCAACGACAGAGGTGAGATATTTAGAAAACTATGTGAAAGCTCATGAAAACACCAGAACCTCATGGCAGGATTTTATTTGACATGAATTGGTCAAGAAATGAGCTAAAACAGCTTTTAGACAGGTTTTTTTGCCGCAACTGTATCAAAAATGTATAAGCGCATAAGCATTTCAACCAAGTGATCAATACGATACTCCAGTTGCTCTTGTTTGGTCCCGGCCCCTTATCACTGGACCACTATGCTACTCTACATTGTCCTCATATTCTGTCTAGTTGTCAGCAATATCAGTCGACTCTTGTGGATGTTCAACTCCATATTGGAATATCTCACCCGGCCCAGGGAACCGCAATTGGTTCCATACTACGATGAAGATGGCGTGTTTCATCGATATAGTGTCCACTAATAAATTTATACTGTTATTTCAGGTAACTTGATTGGACTGGTTCTAATCGGCCCCGATTCTACTCTCGTCAACCGACCTCACTCCCGAGCGCCGCCGATAATTCTACCTGGCGAAAGAGAAGACGAGGAGCAGTCTCAGACTCGCCCAAGCTCTCCGGGTTTGCCACATTCCTTCAAAGCTCTTGTCTCAGTCCTGATGCTCATGTAGCAGCCCTTAACACCAGGCCGGACATTTCTTCACTAAAACTGATTGCGTTTAGCTGGGATTTTTCGCCCGACGGAGAATTCCGTTCTCATGTCTCACGCCAGCAGTTGTGGGACACAAACCAACTCGCCACGAGCTGGGCATTAGAGACCACACTGAATCGTGGTTCTAAAAACGCTCACACCTAGCAGAGGGGTCATGAACTACGCCGCAATGCTTGGGTGTTGTTGAATGTTATACCCAAACATGTTCCATGCACCTTGCACCAGCATCAACAGCCGTTGAGCGTCACCGGAAATTGAAGCAAATGTGTGCTCTGTGTGGAGAGACTATGTATCTTCGCGCATGCGGGGTTGAGTCCTCCCTGTTTCGCTCTCGTGAGGGCGCTGTCTTTATTCACTACGGGTTTCACTCTCATTCAATGTTCACACATTCCTCGGTTCACCATCCTGACGGGTCTTTCTCCGCTGTGGACTATGTCTCGAATCACCAAGTCCGGGTCTCCGAACACAGAAGTCAACCTAATATTCCTATCCTATGGTGTCTCAATGGCTCAGGAGGATTTTGATCCCAACTTGAACAACCTGCATGATGATAATTCAATCGGTATGTTCTTGACGGAAATCATTGGACAGTACTAATTGAAATGAGTAGAACACGACATCGACCGGGAAGCCAGTGTCTTTGGGAGTGAATTTGAACAGGAAGACGACCCCGAGGCAGCTGAAGATCAAGAGCCCTTCTCGGATGAACACTCGGATGAGGTGGATCAACTTGATTCCGACTAGATTAGGGGGTCTCGATAAATTGCTGCCAGTCTGTCCCCGAAGATGCAGAGAGCCTGAATCCATCGTTGTTACAGCTCTTCCTCCTTGCGGTTCTGACAATTGCGCGAATGTTGGTAACGGAAGACTCCAATCTTGTGACGCGCAATTTCCGTGATCATTTCAAAGTAATTCGATGGAGTGTCGAAGCATCTCTTCGATGGATGAAGGGGTGTTTTCTGAAGCCAGTCCGGCGTTGGATGCCATGTTGAACGTCGCTTTGGATGCGCTCTCTGCGAACGAGCTCATGCGTCTGGATCCCCTGGCGAACCAAAAGATTTAGGGTCCCAGATCGGTGTTATTACAGCTTCTCGCAATCCAGCACTCCCTAGATGAGCCCTGGAATTTGAACGGTGAAACTTTCCTGCAGATTCAAGCCGGCCGACTCCGGTTATCACAACCGCGAGGTATCGAGGGACTGCACGAAATGTGGCTTGCCATTGACCCAGTTGTCCGTGCAAGGGAGATTGAAAACCAGATGTCGACGAGTGGGGTTGTGGAGTGGGAGGCGAGATTCAAGGCTGCTCATAGTCTTTGAAAATTCGACCGATTTGGTTTTCTATCATCGTGACGGCGGGTGGAACCCGGAGATCATTCCATTTAATTTCCCTCCCTCCCGGCCGTCAACATTGGGCAGAACCGACGCACCATCAAATTGCCTGCTGATCTACCGCTACCTCCACCAGTGAAGCAACGGTGAGTGAAGAGGCCTTTTGTTGGTGAGGATGTTTTTGGGAATGGGCCAGCGCCGAAGAGGAGGAAGGAAGCGGGCTCCAAGAAATACCGAAGCCGACACCGCCTCATGCACGGAGAAGTACTCGCCTCAGAAAAAACCAACAATATCTCAGTGCGGTCTACTACGACTACATTACGGGCCATAAAAATATTGGCGTCAATACCTGCAGCGCGACACAAAATGGAGTATCGACGAGATAAATAGGACTGGGACTCGCCCAGTCCTGCCATTGATGCCCAGTCCTACTAAATCCGATCAAAGAATAGGACTCGGGTCATCAAGAACAGGACTCGCGAAGTCCTCGCTCCAACAATCAATCTGTCATTGATCTGCCATCAATGTGTGATCCGCCCCAAGCTGTCGGTGATCCAAGTGTGCGCGTACTGGGCAGATGGACTACACCTTTGCTTGAAAGTGACAAGCAAATGAGGATAGAAGCACGCAGAACTAAGAACTTGAGTGCAGGCCGCCATCAAATTAATTCGGCAAATTCCGCTCCGCTGATGCGCAACTTCAACATTATCCCTTGTCGCGCGGCGGACTCGGGGGAAGGTTTGTATAATGGGCCATCTCAAAGTGTGTTCCAGTTGGGTCAGATTTTTTTAGTCGGACTCCTAATAATGGCTACAATTTTATTATTGACCAATGCCGCCAACCCGCCGTTACTGAACGTAATATTGCGCCAGAACAGCATGATTTGGAGTAGATTTAAGCAGAGACA